ATGTCGGTTGTAATCGTCAACGGAAAATTGTTCGAAAATAATTGTTCGAAAGAAAATTGTTCGAAAGAAAATTGTTCGAACGGAAAATTATTCGAACGGAAAATTGTTCGAATGGAAAATTGTTCGAACGGAAAATTGTTCGAACGGAAAATTATTCGAACGGTAAATTATTCGAACAGAAAATTGTTCGAACGGAAAATTATTCGAATGGAAAATTATTCGAACGGAAAATTGTTCGAAAATAATTGTTTGAAAGAAAATTGTTCGAAAGAAAATTGTTCGAACGGAAAATTGTTTTATTTTTCCGAAAAATCAATAGTTTAACTGTGAATCGTGAATGAATCTATGGCCGGAGTTACCCAATTCCTTAATTCTTAATATTTGTCCCTGATTCTTAATTCTTGGTTTTTTAAATTCAATATTAATATACAAGGACTAGCACGCATTAGGTGGACGGGTTAATTAGGCAATCCAACGACCTGTCCAAATGGCGTCTGGTTGGCAAATAATAAACAAAAAACATATGTTTTTATTTTGACGGAATTAAGCCTAGTACTCATAACCGCGAAATTCGCTCTTTTTTGACGTTTGATTCACACATAAAACGTCAAATTGTCGAAGCAATGTCAAAAAACAGCCAATTTCGCTGTTATGAGTACTAGGCTTTATCAATACTGACATCGTTGACATGTAACAACCGGTATTCTAACCTCATAAAAATTTCAAAATGCCGGCTGGTTGGCAAAAGTCACCTGGTTTGGATTATTCCCTAATTTGGGTTAGTTTGCATTTTTTTGGGTTAGTTTGGGCTAGTTCACATATTTTTGGTTAGTTTCGTCACGGTTCGTTTAATACTGGCCAAAAGCGTACTGCTTGACAATAGGAGGCGCTTGGTTTTTTTAATTTAATATTAATATACAAGGACTAGCACCCATTACGTGGACGGGTTAGTTTTAGACCGTGAGATAGGGCCTGTTTAGTGGAGTCATTTTTTTTTGTCTGGCATTTTAAGGGATGAATGTGGCTAGTTAGCTGATGAGAATATAGGTGGTTTTAGTGCTTGCCACCTGTTCGAAATGTCCACAGAATGTTTCGCCGGAAAACTCGACTTCGAACTGGGATTACCGTCTGGCGATTTTTCAGCGATATTTTCACAACAAAACCTTTCATTCTCTCGATTACCAGACAAAAAGTAAACGCGGAAGGTTCTTTTCTTTTCTCTTGGAAGTTGACACTCATCCCCACTTTTTCAGCTATTGAAAAGCATCTGGTATTTTTTATGAGTGAATTATTTATCAATGTCAATCTTTTATTTAGAAGCCAAAAAATTTGAGATCATTTAAAAAAAATTCCTCATGTAAATTAATTTTTTTCTTCTGCAAATTTTCGAACGGGAGGCAGGCATTAAAACCACCCATATTCTCATCAGCTAACTAACCACATTCAGCCCTCAAAATGCCAGACAAAAAAAAATGACTCCACTAAACAGGCCCTATCTCACAGTCTATTTGGGTTAGTTTGCATATTTTTGGTTAGTTTCGTTAAAGCTCATTCAATACTGGTTAGAAGTGTACTGTTTGCCACTAATATTTTGACCTGCGTTCTTTTGTCCGCTCGCTTTTGATCGGAGATTCAAAAATAATTGAAATTTCGAGCTGTTGTATTTAAAAAAGGTTTTTCACGTTTTTGGTGGATTTACGTTTCCGAGGCGTATAAGTACATTAATTAACAATTTTCCATTCGAACCATTTTCCATTCGAACAATTTTTCTTTTGAACAATTTTCCATTCGAACGAACAATTTTCTTTTCGAAAAATTTTCTTTTTGAATAATTTTCCGTTCGAACAATTTTCCTTTCGAAAAATTTTCCGTTCGAACTCCGGTTGTAATATGTAATATATGTATTATTACAGATTTTTTCTGACTTTATATCCTTATTAAATAATCTAACCACTCAGCATCTACCTAAAGTCCAAGCTCCTTACCCAGATACTATATAGGTTAGGACAGGGTGAGGGTTAGGTTAAAACGATTTCTTCAGAAAACGTTTAAGAACAAGTTCCGATTTTTCAATCAATAACTAGTCTATGTGGTAGCTGACCTATTTACCACACTATGTATGGAAAATTATTGGCAAATTAAATTTTTTATGTACCTATTTTGAAACTGCGTTGTTAAAACCGATTTTCTAGAATAATGGTTTACCTATGTAGCTTATCAAAACCAATTACTCCGTGCCTCGCTTTGTGCAGTAAAAATAAGTAATAACCTGAACCAATTACTTTGGCCCATAAAAAATAATTTTCTATACATGGATTTAATTATGAAACGTCATTTTCACTAAATTTGATGATAAAAAATCTATATGGATCAAGGTTACCTCATGATTAACAATATTATTGCGATTTTTAAGGGTGTGCATTGTATTTTTGTTTATTGTCTTTTTAAATAAGTGACTAGTTTTAAGGCTTTTCCTTGGGCTTTTCATTGTTGATTTCATATTTGAGTTTAGCGTTGTTAATAAAATTGTATCTTTGATGATAAAGCAATTTTTGATTTGATTTTCCTACGTGTCGCCCCTTGCTGCAAGCTAAGTTGAAGGCTGGTCATTACCAGTGAATAGTTAGCATCCTAAATTATAGCACCCTCGACTTTTTCGTTAGGTCAGAAGTAAAATTTGAAAGTTTTTGAAAAACAAAAATAGGGGTGCTAGCTTCATGCAGCAACCATTCATTTTAGAGTAGCCCCGATGACATTTCTAGCGCTATTCAGAAAGGGGCAAAAACACATAGGTACCTACACAATGAACATTTGAGCTACAAGCGGAATCAAGTACAGCTTTGATGCTGGAGAACTGTTGTTTTTCGAGTAGCACCCCCGAGTTCTAGCTTTATTAAGTGATTTTTCATGGAAGAATATTGAAATTCTGAACGGTGCTATTCAGAACTCCAAAGAAAACACACAGAGGGAATCAAATAAATAAAGCTTTGATGCTGGGAACTATTGTTGTTCGAGTAGCACTCCTACCTTTGAAAAGTGATTTTTAAAATATCAGAATACTATAGTAGAGGGTGCTACTAAGAACTATAAAAAAAACGGTAGGTACGATGTTTGTTTTGGTCACCAGAGAAATCGAATGCCGCTTTGATGCAGAGAACTCTCGTTTTTTTCAGTAGCACCCGTGAATTCCAGCATTATTATGTAATCTAGGCACACAGAGAACGAACGTTTTGGCCATAAGGGGAATCAAGTATAGTCAGTATTATACCCATTTGTAGTTACGTCATCCAGGTGAGAAAAAACGTTAGGCGTAACCCATAACTGATTGACATTGGCAGAAAAATATAAAGGATGATCTCCTTTAAAACGGAGTTTGAAACCAAACAATGCTCAGACACCCACTTTTCTCAAAAATTTGTTGTCACTCGCTGTTTGCAATGTACCAAACAAAGATAAACAAAAATGACGTCATTAAAAATGGGTATAATTCTGACTATACAGCGTTGATACTAAAAACTGTTGTTTTTCGAGTAGCACCCCTGAGTTCTAGCTTTGAAAAGTGATTTTTAATAGAAGAATAACAAAATACTATATAGTGCTAGTCAGAACTACAAAAAAAAACCCATACAGACTACAAGTTTTGGTCACCAGGGCAATTGAATGTCGCTTTGATGTCAAGAACATCCGTTTTTTCCAGAAACACTCCTGAGTTCCTACTTTAATAAAAAAAAAATCGAGGATTTTACATAAAAGAATATTGAAATACAAAGGGTGCTATTCAGAACACAGAGAACGACCGTTTTGGCTACAAGGGGAATCAAATACATCTTTGATGCTAAGAACTGTTGTTTTTCGAGTAGCACCCATGAATTTTGCTTGCTTTGAAAAGTGATTTTTTGAAGACGAATATCAAAATATTATTTTTAGAGTAGTACTCAGAGCTATAAAAAAACCTATAGAGAATGCACGTTCTGGTCACCAGAGCAATGGAATGCTGCTTTTCGTTTCTCCAGTTAAGTAGCACCCCTAAAGTTCCAGTAGCACCCCTGAGGGGCGGTTCACTCACCACAATTTGTACATCGATTTCGGAAATCGCAGGGGATTTCATTAATTTTCAAGGGATTTCGAAAAATTACGGATAATCAACTTTCAACGCCGTACCACTAACGATTTCGAGAATTTCAATAAATCTATTGGGATTTCGGGATTTCAGAAGGATTTCGGTTGGGATATCGTGATTTCAGAAGGATTTCGTAAGGATTTCAGATAGGATTTCACTCTTCGCGATTTCAAATGGATTTCGAGGTTTCCAAAGGATTTCGAAATAATTTCGGATTTCGGATGAAAATGTACAGCGATTTCGGGAGTGAGCTGCCTTGCCTCGAGCACCCCCGAGCTCCAGCTTTAATAGGTAATTTTTCATTAAAACATATTGAAATACTAAAGGGTGCTATTCAGAACTCCAAAAAAAAACACGATAATGAACGTTTTGGCTACAAGGGGAATCAAATAAATCTTTGACGATGAGAAGTATTGTTTTCGAGTAGCACACCTAGCACAGTTCTAGTTTCGAAACGTTATTTTGACTAGAAGAATATCACCTTGCTGCCAAGAACTCTCTTTTTCCCAGTAGCACCATCACAAACCAAACCAATAGAGCAGAGCTATTTCGATTGATGGCAACCATAATAAACATAGTAAACCAGTTGCCATTATAGATCTTTGCTTGTTTTTGACTGACCAAAACTGCTCCAATAGGTTTGAGATTTTGGTTGAAACAGATTTATAGGACGACATAGGTAATACCTCGCATAATATAGGAACCTCGATATGCATATAGTTACAGTGAGCACTAGATAGGTAAATTGCAAATTCTAGTTGTAGTGCCTATATAATATATGAAAAATAATCAGCAAAGTAGGTATTTACAAAATTGTTTTTCTATTACATATTATTATTATCAATAAAGTGTTACAAAACTTTTATAGGAATCTACTTACTTGGTGGTATGGGGAGAATTCTAAGTACTGGGTAAGAGTTGGGTCTTTTTATCCTCATTTCGAACAGTTGTAAATAATCCAAACAATATTGGCACTATTTCAACTTAAACCCGTCTAACCGTCAACACAAAAATCGATTGGCACGAGTGTTCTTTAGAAAAATCGGAAAATATATCAACAAAAAAAACCTGTCACTACTTCCGACCGTTTCGTTTGGGAATAGTTTGAAGAATAAATAAATGAGAAAACCATACACACGCTGAATTAACAGGGTCACTACGAGCAGTGGTGGGGCAGATGATTCATTCAGAATGTCCGCTAGTTTAGTTTAGTCGTGTGCGTCATATTTTCTCCTTCTCTGAAGGACGCGGCGACGCCGAAACCGGGAAGGGAACCCAAAACGACGTCCCAAGCGAGCGAGAGCGAGAGACCCGAGACCCGACCGAATGCGATTGCCGCCGATTGGATTGAGATTTGCCAAGCAAGCCAAACACCGAATGCGCTGTTGCGTCTCGCGTCGCTTTCCTGTTTTGTCGACTCGAAATATTCCATGTCCATAATCATAAAAAAATAGTCCGGGAGCTAGGGACAGATGATGTAACAGATGAATCATTGGGTGCCGGGTGGCATCTAAATAGGCCGTCGGCGGAGAAGCGTTTGCGTTCAAAAACCCGGTATCATTGTATAGAGCCAAGTTAGGAGCAAAAAACTAAAAATATACGGAAACTAAAATTTCCAACTTTAACCTCGTATAACTTCTAAACCGCTTAAGGTAATAGAATGATTTTTCTTCTAGATTCTAGACAAAAATATTCTCTTTACTATGGTGTATATTTTATTCGAAACATATCAAAGTAGAGCTCAAAAAATCAGTTATTTCGTAGACACGGCGCGATTGAATAAAATATATGTTTGCTTTAACCTGCGATAACTCCTTTATATATTGGAGTATTCAATTAGTTTTTTGCTCAAAAACTGGCAAATTTAATTGGCTTTCTTTCGTCTCGATTATATACCGACCTATTTTCAGTAATAAACTCAATAGAGCCGTTTAAACACAACAAAGCGCGGTCTGGCGGCAGAAGTTACGTGGCTCCCTTCTCATTCCCGCTGCCAACTGACAACCCCTGGTATGAATTAAAACACTACGAGCGATGCCTAGACTGCATGACAGTCAATTTTCCTTGTTTATGGAACTTTGTGTTCTATATTTATGAAAAGTCATCGGGTTCTCATATCATCAGTAAGTAGACATAAAAAGCTAATTGAATATTATCGATAATTTTTGGAAAACTTGTAAGTACGAACGCACTTAAGTTAAAAAAGAGAACGAGTGAACGCCAAAATCCCGTAATTTCAAATGTGATTGGTCTAAGACCTAAGTCAGGATCTACCACTCTATCACTCGTTCAATTAATTGTTATATTCAACACATGAATGAAATTGGCATTATCCCTCTTCTACGCTTACGTAGGTAGGTATAGTATTTATAATCTGAACTGAAACACTAAAAAAACATCTAGTCGGCATACATCAAACAAATAAAGGACATGGGCGTCACATAATTTCTATTTCTTTAAATGGTGATAATCAATGTCAAAAAACACAACTAAATAATACGTGGAATAAAACAGCAAATAATATCTATACATATAAATTGGGATGACACTAGTTACTAGTTATAGATAACGCGTATATAGTCTAGTCAGGCACCCGCATCCTCCCCGAAAAGAAGAAAAGTAAGAAAAGTAAGTAACCCACCCCAATAATTCAATCTATAGGCGCGTGCCGACCTAAATTATTATTTTGGGCTACTGTCGCGATATTTCGTCGCTGCTTATATTTTGTACAGGTAAACTTTACAATAGATTTTCTATGAAATTAAGAGAAGAGAGCGATGTGATGTTGAAATATCCTCGTATAATGCAGTGTTTCAAGTCAGAATAAAAATACTATACTACTTTAAATTTTTTCATTTTGTAGGCGTACTAACATTGACGTCATGGATAATGTTTGTGTTTTATGTTGGAAAACATTAGCGGCGGAATCACCTAGCTTTTTAAAAAGCCAACGAAACAGGGCTACTTGACAATTTTTCCTGCAGCAGAAAAAAAAAAGATGCTATTTCTTCACTGATATTGTCACGAAGAAAAGAAATAAACGCTAGTCCCGAAAGATTCAAATACCTATCATAAAAGTTGCAGAAAATATTTTTGCAGAAAAAATAATATTGACAAGGTAGTGAAATTAAATAACTAACTCAAACATAACCAAAGTATTTCCATCAAGCAGTGGTCACAAGTACTACCCGAGAAAAGATTTTTACAAGCGCTATACAAATAATCAGTGGCGGCTCGTAATAAAGGGCTCTGGGGCGCCGCCCTCCCTGCAGTAAATGAAAAATGAATTATTTTTGTTTTTCTTGGAACCCCAAAAATACTTCATTCAGAAAACCAATAAAACAATAATATGAAAATTGAAATTAATGAAATTCAAACATGCTGATATTCGGGCAAGTTATATCGAATGAGTAACGCATTTCGTTAGTTCTACGGGGACTACGGGCAACTTATGCCTGCCGAACGCGGGCGCTAGAATATCCGTCCCGGCTGCATCTAAACATTCCGGTATAGGATTCGGCACCTAGGCATATTTCATTGGTCCGTTTGAATTCGGACCGCCAATTGATGCGGAGTGCCGAAATCGGTTCTTGAATGTTGAACGGTGCTGAGCCTCAGGTCAGAATGGTCCATTAGCAACAGCCATGTGGAGTGCCGAATCTAAGGTCAAAATGTTAAACAGTGCTGAGTATCAGGTCCGAATGTTGCCATGCGTTTGGCGCGGTTTTTATATTGAATCATTAAATCAGCACTCCACCTCCTTCGTGTTCCTCTTAGCTAAAATTTTGCGGCGGATGCGGTTTATTTCGCCGTTGCTTTATGTGTTCTTGTGCTTAAACATGCAAGATTAGTTTGCCTGGATTATTTAAACACTTTCAATGTCGTGAGAAAATTTACCGAGCCAACATTTTGGAGAAAAACGATATAAAGCAATGGAAAGAAGAGTATGCGAAAATAGTTATTTTCCTAACAAGTGCGCAAAGTGTTACTTTTCCGCACGCAAACACAGTTATCCGAACGACGCGAAGCGGAGTTCGGATACGTATTTGCGTGCGGAAAAGACACTTTGCGTACGTGTTAGAAACAAATTTTTTCCTACGAGCTTCATATCAGGTAGGTAATTAGGCAATTCAATCCATCTGTCAAAACAGAAAATTCAATATGGCGTGGCGGCCAGCAAGTTTGTTTCGAACATGTATTTTCATCCATATTTTAATTATTTTGCTTCGAGTTTTGTTTGCAACCATTTTGACTATCCAATAAAATATTTGTTGACTAGGTACGTAAACTTTCAAGTCGGGCTGAAACTAGATATTTTTTTTGTGTTTTTTAGCCCATGTGTGGCCGCCACGCCATCTTGAAAGTCACGTGGTTTGAATTGCCTAATAACAAAATTTAAAATAAAAAACGATAATTTGTTTAATTATTTTTTTCTACAAACGTGTTAAAAATGCAATTTTTAACACCCCCTCGAAGCATTAAAAATGTTACTTTATTGCACTAGTGTTAAAAGTCTTTAAGGCACTAGTGTTAAAAATGAAACATCAAAATTTGAAAGCAAACGTCAAAAAAAGTTTGTATTTTTAATTATTTACATTAATATTAATGGTAAAATTTGAACAACTGAGGAAGCTCCATCGGCCGCCTCCTCTATATTTTTCAAGGGATTGATGCAACCCTCTTTTTCTTGTGTATTTTGTTGCATTTTTAGCAAAAAGCTTACTGACCACGATAGACCATACGACAGACTTTCAAGAAACTGACGAGGCATTTCATTACCTGTAAAACAAGGTGCTGGTTGTTTGAATTTTTTGACAAATATCAAATTCAATAATTTTACGTAGGAAAGATGCTTCCAATTTATTATTCATTTAAAAATCCAATTTGTCACTGGTTATTGCTTGTTATTGCCGTTTGTAGAAAAAATATTGTATGATATTTGTGTTAAAAGTATTTTTAAGGCACTTATGTGAATTGCAGAATTCGCTTCGCTCATTCTGCAAACTTTCACATGCGTGCCTTAAAAATGTACTTTTAACACTTATATCATAAATAACTATTAATTAACTTAAAGGGAACCTATGCATTTATCAGAAAATTACATAACAAAAAAAAATAACAGAAAATCCTCGTCAGAGCTGTTCATCTTAAAGCGTTTAAATTTGATTAGAAAGTTTGTAGATTTTTGCATATAAATAGAGAACAAATCTGACAATGTGTCAAAGTTAATTTATATTTGGTGTTTGTATAGATGATGACTGATATAGAAACAGAGGAAAAATTTGTCATCATGTGTCAAAGTCGACAGGTGCACTTATTGTTGCATGACAATTATAATTACTTTTCGGCACTCAGTGCGGATAAGGCCTGTATCCGCACTGAGTGCGGAAAAGTGTAACTTTGAGTCCGGAAATGCGTGCGGAAAAGTACTACTTTGCGCACGCTCGTAGGAAAATAATTATAACAAATTCAAATGCAGGTTTGTGTTCAATGTCAATTCAATGACGTAGAATCTTCTTGACTGCGAATAGACTTTGGAAAATACATTTTTTAGATATGTTTTTGTATGCCATCATAGTGCTTATAAAAAAGTGGATCAAGAAAATAATAAGAAAGGAAAATCCAAAAACTGCTGTTGCCTGGCTTCAATTCACCATATTAGTTAGGTTAGGAAAAATCTGGCGCGAAATTTAAAATGGGTTCCTAAACACATTTCAACAAATTTGACAGCAATGTATTTCTTATGGGGGATTCAATAGAGTGATTTTCAGACGGGAATATCTTGGGTTCTGGGCATTTCTTAGTATTTGAACCTATTATACGTCAAACTTTGAACATATTTCTCTATAATTCATGCTCTAATTGTTTTTTTAGACCTATGGATTAAAAATACAAATGATTTTAATTGAAAGTGTCTGTTTTCGGTGGACGTACGTCGGGTCTAAAACCAGCTGTCAGAAAGTGAGGTTGTGTGTTGTGTTATGATTGTTGGTGAATTGTTTATTTATTTATTTATTTATCACTAGTTCAGTCATTTGTTTTTCCATTTTTTTGGATTATTGAAGTACATCTACTAACCAAGTATGTAGGTACACTTTTATTTTATTATAATTATTGGTACCAATATATTTACTTATGGATCAAGCAACGACATACGTATTTTATACAAACATCGGCTTCTTAAATTGGTAATATTTTTATTTTAACAATGTTTATTCAACTTTCAAACACTCTCTCAGTTAATTAACATATTAAAAAAACTATTTATACAACTTACTTCCCTAACAAACGTTCTATCACGTCTACAGGCGCTTTTAAAATTGAGTCCCCATAAGACATCAATGTATTAATTTTTGAACTAGGAACC